TACCGCCACATGCAGGCCAGTCCTCCCTTTTTTTCTGATGCTATTTTTCTGAGGGTTTTTTTTTCTCCTGTTAAATTACTACAATCATTTTTAAATTTTGCTTTGGAGTTTTTTTTTCACCCCTCGTTTTTTTCATTTTTTTTCATTTTCATTTTGCTTAACGGACTTCTAATCTCAAAAACTATGCATTGCACTTTGTGCAGATTTTGCCTACCTCGTCTAAAATTTGCATGTAAATTTATTTTTACTTGCTTTGATGGGACCCCGACGGGTCTTTAATAAAAATAATTGAATTGAATTGAATTGAATTGAGTACAATTGATGTCTCCTCAGATCTCATTAAAAAACACCTAAGCCGTTTGAAATACTCCCACTGCTCAGGAACGGACGGGATTCCGAATTCGATTATTAAACAAGCGTCCGACCTTCCCATATTGCTCAGTCATTTATTCTCTGCTTATATTTCAAAAGAATTCTTTCCTGAAACATGGAAAACGCCAATTATCATTCCCGTTTTCAAGTCAGGATCTCGGTCCGATGTTAATAACTATCGGGGCGTGCACAAAACGCCGTCTCTTGCAAAACTTCTTGAAAGGATTATTTTCAATGAAATTCTTGACTTCTGTCTAGCTAATCGGTTTCTGAGCTCTAGTCAGCATGGATTTTTACCTGAACGATCCTGCGAAACATGCCATTTGGCTTTTCTTAATCTAATCACTTCTCTTCGTAATGAGCGGCAGTCAGTGGTAGTTATTTACTTTGATCTTAGCAAAGCCTTTGAAAAGGTGCCCCATAGACGTCTTTTAGTAAAATTGGAAGCTTTCGGCATCCGGCCGCCTCTACTCGACTTCATCAGGTCCTATCTGTCCAACCGATGTCAGAAAGTCATGGTCGGTAATAGCTACTCGACACCCCACTCGATCACGAGTGGCGTACTTCAAGGCACGGTTCTGGGTCCGCCACTCTTCCTTCTGTACATCAATGATATTTCGACTGAACTCGGAAATTCGCAAACTTTTACTTATGCCGATGACCTTAAGTGTGTTTACTCATACTCTAAGGACACCGCAAATGTTTGTGTTGAAAAAATTAATGCCGATTTACTACGCTTAAGCAGATAAGGTTCGACATGGCAGATGGAGTTTTCATCATCCAAGTGTAGTTTCATGTCTTTTGGTCCTACCAAACTTCCTGGTCCCATAATTTTTCAGAATAACCCACTCTCAGAATGCCTCACCATAAAGGACCTAGGTCTAAGTTACACAAATAAGCTTGCTTCATCACCTCATGCAGATAGAATCACTGCCGAAGCCGCGCAGATATGTGGATTCATATCGCATAATTTTTTCCTTCCGGAAATGAAGCTAACACTTTATCAAATGTTTGTTCTTCCAGTCCTCGATTACTGCTGTCCTTTCGTTGGTTTGATGAACGCCTGTGACCGCTATAGGATCGAAAATTTTCAGAGGGTTTGCACCTGGAAACTGTTCTCTCAAGCTTCGTCCAGTATTTCTTATACTCAGAGATGTCAGCTGGCGAACATTAAGTTTTTGTGGGTTAGAAGACTCGAAGCTGGCCTTTGCTTCCTTTTTCGCATCAACTCTAGCTCCAGTCTTCCGCACATTGACACTCTCACTCCGAGAGATCGGTCTTATGCCACGCGTAACTCCTGCATGGTGATTTGGCCGCCTCTTTGTACTACATCTAAGCGCTCCCTCTTCTTTCCTTCCAAATATGCCTTCCTTTGGAATAATCTTCCGGCTGAAATTAGATTATCGCCTAAGTTACTGGTATTCAAGTCGAAATTACGCAACCATCTTACACCGGAAAGCATAAAGGCACTGTTAACGGTCTCATTCCCGAACACTCAGGTTCTTGACTTCGAGAAGGGTCCTCCTGGGATTTAGTGGTAGATTAAGTGGTAACTCATAATTATATCATTAGAAACCCCTGTTTTTAATTGGTTTCTAAATCCATCGCCATCCTTCCCTCCATAGCGACAATTTTCGCGGTTTTTGATGTCATCTCCCGCATTCCGACCTCATGCGGTCTGTCGACGCTCACGGCGGAACCCTCCGTATCCACTGTCTACTAGTAGTTCGGTCGTACCTCCCTTCCTCACTGCTCGGCTGAGCTCGAAGCGTGCTGTGGCCGATCGCATCTCGGTTCCTCTCGTCTGGCCTCTTTGACGCGGCGTACCAATCCGGCCCAGACGATCTGAGTTGTGAATCCCGTATACAATGCCATTTGCAAGCCAGTCCTGTCTGACCCACATTCGTACCCATCAAGGCGGACATTTATTGATACCCTGACGATGACCGACAACATTCCGTTATATACCGCCACCTACAGGCCTGTCCTGCTCGCATTTTTCTGTCATTATTTTTATGGAGGGGTTTTTTTCTCCTGTAAAATCAATCCAATCATTTTTATCTTTTTGTAAGGAGTTTTTTTTCACCCCTCAATCATCATGTTTCTCAATGGACTTCTAATTCAGAAACTATGAATTGCATTTTGTAAAGATTCGGCCTACCTCGTCTAAAACTCGCATGCAAATTTATTTTAACTTGCTTTGATGGGACCCCGACGGGTTTTTAATAAAAATTATCTATCTATCTATCTGTCGTCAAGGCGAGGCTCCGCCTGGTACACCGCAGGAGGCCGCAAGTCTATAGTAATGTTGTAGGCCGTCTCAGGCTAACTCGGGCCGTTCTTCCACTAAAAAAATGTCGTAGCCCATAGTGGAAGTCCGCAGCACCTGACACAACCGAGAAACTCTTGTAAGGGACAGCACTCCTCACCTTCGCGAGATGAAAGTAGCTAGAATGGTGCTTTAAACAAATGCTGGGGAACCATGTCGTCTGCAGGCTGACGGTGGTCGCAGACGTTTAACTCGCGGTCGAAAAAATCACAATCCGAACAACGCTCTATTTTTTTCTCCTCTTCCTCCTCCCCATCCTCATCCTCCCCCTCCTCCTCCTTCTTCTTCTTCCCCCTCTCCTCCTTCCCCTCCTACCCTACACCCTACTTGCCAGACTAGTCTGATTAGGCCACTCACACTGGCAGTCCGCAATTTTCGTTCCCCTTTAGACAACCCGAGGACAACCGACCGGAACGGAAAACGGCGCTAGTGGCTCGTGATCTGGCGCGCTTCAAGACGGGCATCGCTGCACTCAGAGAGACCCGGTTCTCTGAACAAGGTCAACTGGAGGAGGAGGTGGGTGTCGGCTATAACTTCCTCTGGAGAGGTTGCCCAAGGCAGAGCGACGAGACGCAGGTGTCGCCTTCGCTATTTGGAACGACATCGTGGGACGACTGTCCTGTTTGCCGCAGGACATCAACAATCGCCTGATGAGGTTTCACCTACCTCTTCAGAGAAGCAAATTCGCCACCATCATCTGCGCCTCCGCTTCCTCTATGACCGGCCCCGATGCCTTCTGGCGACTGTGTCGAAGATGGATAAGTTGATTGTCTTTGGTGACTTCAACGCCCGCGTTGGCACAGACCATGTTGTCTGGAGAGGAGTGTTAGGTCCCTATGTTCTCAACGGCTAGAATGACAATGGTCCGCTCCTTCGATGAACCTGCGCAGGACACCGACTTATCTTGACAAACATTTTCTTCTGCCCCCCGTTGCGAGAGAAGGCCACCTGGATGCATCCTCGGTGGCGTCAGTGGCGCCTGCTGGATCATGTCCTCGTCCGGAGGCGACACCGGCTGGACGCGCTAGTGACAAAGGCGATCTCCGGTGGCGACGAATGGACCGACCATCGCCTCGTCATCTCGAAGTTGCGAACTCGCCTACAGCCTCGCAAGAGACCTCAAAGTAAGCTACCCCTAGGTAAGCCGAATAAATAAATAAATAAATAAATTTTAATTTAATGCCAGTTTACAGGCATTGTCAAGGGAAGCGATTAAACACAAATCCGACCGGCAGTGAAAAAAAACTCCTGAGCTTAAGGCATAAAAATATAGTCAATGGTGGTTTTTGTTGTTTGGAGGGCTCAGGAGAAAAAAACTGTCGGCGGTGGTAGAATATCGACCGTCAAGAAGGGGGGAGGTTGCACGGTATCGGAGATTATCGGACGTCAAATTCCTTTCATGAATTTGGGGATAGCCAAAGTAGAGGCGTCGAGGAACAGCTGGTGAGACCGGCCATAGTGTTCAGAAACCACAAACGCCATCGCTACGTTACAGTCGATCAGTAGATTCAGCACCCAAAATTTGTGGGAGCTTTTCTGAATGCAAAAATCGAGTAATAGTTCTCTTAAATAAAGGATAATTTTGCAGAGTTTTCACACTCATGGGTAGTTTATTCCAAATAGCAATTGCATTTACAGAAAAAAACCGACGATATTTAACAGTACGTGCCAGAGGCAGAAATAAGAAGACCTCACGGTGACTGTTACGTCGTGGGTGGATATGATGTCTTAAAGAGGTGAGCGGGTTAAATGTGTGATTATATAAGAGTTTAAATAGCAAAATTAGTCCCTTTTGTAATCTACGGAACCATAAAGGATCGAGGCCTGTAAGCCGGCAACGTTCTTGGTAAGACAAATGTCGGTGTTCCGGGGTTAAAATTCTCTTAGTAAAAAAGTGTTGAACGGATTCTATCTTCTTCCGCTCAGTAGCACACATGAGGCTAAATGAAAACGAACAGTATTCCAGACCAGGTCTAACGTACATGTTGTAAAGGCGCATTCTAATGCCCCTACTTTTAAAATTTCGGAGGATAAACCCGGTCGTTCTACGTGCTTTGGAGACTATCAAGGCACAGTGCTCCGAGAGATTGAGACTCTTGGAGTATGATACGCCCAAATCCTTTATTACCCCTGGCACATTTATTGCGTGACCTTCAATACTCAGTTGAGGTTGGCGGTCGTCGCCCACCACCATGACTGAGCACTTATGCCAAGAAAGAGAAAGGCGCCATGTGCGGCACCACTGGGCGAAAGCCTGTAGATCGCTCTTTAGGAGCTCAAGCACGATGTCATGATCTGCCATGATCTGTCATGATCGATATGCAACTTTAAGATCATCGGCATACATGAAAGGCCTACCATTCTGAAATAAATCGGGTACATCATTAACGAAAAGGCAAAATAAAAGCGGGCCGAGTACACTACCCTGAATGACTCCACTCCTCACACGTGTGGGGTTGGAGATGGTATTGGAAATCTTAACTCGTTGTGTGCGAGTGCCCAAATAAGAGGATATAAAATTCAAAAGTTTGCCACCTATTCCGAAAGAGGACAATTTCAAGAGGAGAAGAGCATGGTCAACACAGTCAAAAGCCTTAGTGAAATCGAAATATACTGTGCAAAGAGCAAAACCATGGCCCCTAGATTGGAGAACATAGTCAAAGAAAGAGAGTTGACAGGTGTCACAAGATCGAGCTTTGAGGAATCCATGCTGAGCAACACTCAGTAAGTTGTTCGCTGTTAAGTGACACATCATCTTATCCTTGATCAATGTCTCTAAGAACTTCGAAACTGCGGGGAGGTTGTTTATTGGCCGAAAGTCATCAAATGATGTAGATTTGCCGTGCTTAGGAATGGGCAAAATGTGTGATTCCTTCCACAAGGTAGGGTAAGTTTCACTTTCAAGAGCAAGATTAAATATCTTGCATAAGAGGGATGGGAAGATCGTGTTTGCATCGGCTTTTAAAATGCTTACTGGGACACCATCAGGGCCTGGACTATAAGATTGACGAAAACGCCGAATCGCAACAGTCACATCCCACAGAGTGAAAGTTATAGTTTCTAGAACTGCCCCGGTAAATGACTGGATGGTCGGAAGCGGAGTGGTCGAGTCTTCAATAAACGTTTTGGACAGGAAATCATTGAAGCTGTCCGCGGTTAACTGGGTATCAACTATGGGATTTCCGAGATCGTCTCGAAGGATGGGATACTGCATCTTTTTCTGAGTTCGTATTTTTCTAGAGAAAAGTTTCGAGACACTTAACGAATGGTTTTCAGTAAAGTGGACCTCTTCGGCTAGCTGTTTTTCTTCAGACAATCTCTTAGCTCGATCAAAAATGTCACAAATCAAGGGCAGAACAGAAACATCGTTCTGCAGATGGAAACGACGATAAAGCCTGCGCAATCTGCGACGAAAGGGTAAAGGTAGGAAAATCTCATCCCAAACATTAATAATTTTCTTACGGGGGACAAAACGAGAAATAAGCGGACCCAAAATTTCGTACAGTTTTGCAGTGCAAACATTTACATCCGAACTAAGGAAGAACTCAGTCCAGTCGTAGGAATTAAGGTGTGTTAATAATTCGGTTGAGCGAGTTGATCGGAAATTGCGGAAAAAGTTATACTTTTGGGACGACATTTCGTCAGCCTCGAATTCCAACGTTGAAACAACTATGTCATGGTCTGAACCCCCGAGTGGGCCTAGGGATGACACTGACGATGGCAAGCAGCCTCTACAGAAAATTAAGTCAAGTATACTTGAGCCTCGGGTGGGAAAATCAACAACCTGAGTCCACATCCCGACATCCACAGCCTCAAGAAAGTCATCGAACCTTCTGGGGCCTTAAGGCGGAGACCAGCGGACTTCAGGGAGATTAAAGTCACCCGCAACCAGTTGATATTTAAAACTTAAGTCGGCCGCAGCATTAAATGCCTGTGAGAGTAAGCGATCAAAATTGTCATTGGCGTTGGGAGGGCGATAGACGCAGCCAACGAGTAAGGAGAACTTATTTTTTAGTGCAACCTGGAGCCAGCAGCTGCCTTCTACCGCTGAAAAGTGCGGGAGGTCCAACGGCAAACATGTAAGTGTTTGCTTAACGTAGACGCAGCTGCCCCCACCACGGCCATCTTGGCGATCATTTCGAATGCAATTGTAGCCTAAAAGAGAGAGTTCGGAGTCAGCTACTGAGGCTGATGCCCACGTCTCAGTTACTAAAACAATATCAGGACAATGGACGAACACCTGAGTCTGAAGCAAAGGCATCTTATTAAGCAAGGATCTGGCATTTAAAACAAAAAGTTTGAAGGGAAAGGCTGTTAGTTTTTGAGGGAGGTGGGCTTCATCGTCCAGTTCTAGGTCGCCCACGGAGCAAACGGTCCGGATGCAACCATCCGGTTCTGCAAAAAATTTTGTGGCATCAAAAAATTCTGACGTGGATAAAAAAGGGGAGGACTTGGGGGAGGGAATGACGGGCAGGTAAACTGGTAACTATTGTTAGCTAACTTATTTTCAGCTGGAAATCCGTGGGGCAGATACTGCAACTTATTCCCGCCGGGACGAAACTGAGGATCGGATGAATTAACTGATTCAGTATGGACATTATCATGAGGAATAAGTTGGTAAAACGGCCGTGGAGGAAACAAGTTAGGGGGTGGGGGACGCATTGTTTCCATTGGAACAAGAGGTCTATTAAACGGTGGGAAAATCGGCATATTCGGCCTAACTGCCTCGATATGAGGTCTGGGGGGGGCATTTGGGATCACGCTGCGTTTTGAGTCGGGGTGTTTGAGGCATTGTTAACCGATTATGGAGGAAAACATTTTATACTGGTGCTGGATTTATTGGGTGTCCGAGTGGCTGAGACAGCAATTGGATTTGCCTTTGATATAGGCACATGCTTAGGTTTACTAGGGGTTGCTGAGGGAGTCGATAGAGGCGTGTTTATACCAGGCGTGGTGGTGTGTTTAAAGAGGTCAGCATTAAAAGTAGTAGAACTCCCTACGGAATTGACTATGCCGTGACTTGCAGATGCCGCAGGTGGTGTTGTAGAGGACATATTCAGACTGACAGTAGGTGCCATTATCTTGGTGTTGGTTTTTGCCGATTTCAGTTTATTCAGTCTTCGCTGCAGGGGTGTGAGGTCTGGCGAAACGGAGCAGCGCCATTTACGGCAGAAGTCTCTAGTCATCTCCCTACTCGACAAGATAAAATCGACTTCTATCACGGAGAAAAGGGCAACTAGTATCGGCGCATTACGGCTAAGCGAGCGAAGTCGCTTAGCTAGTGCGACACTAAAACTCAAACCACAACTTTGTAGGAACAAATGCGCTCCCTCCATAGCAGATAAGTGGCTCGGAATGTTTCGCAGTACGAAATTATGCTTGCGTTTAATTCGTTCCTCAGTTTCCGAACTTATTACCCCAATAAGTTTAAAAGCTTGTTCAAGCACTTTTTCAGAAGTGCTGTTTATGTCGCCATAAATCAGCTGATCGATTATTTCGCCGGCTGATGGCCTGCTACGACTAGCAGAGGCGTATTTTTGGACGACTGAAGGGTCGAGAGGTTCTACATGTACTAAAGGGATTTGTGAGTTAATCATATCTGCAGACGGCGAAGAACATACGCTGGCGTCTGCCATGTCTTCAGTCACGATTTTAGCACCCAGAGACGGTGGGGAGGCCGCAAGCTTTCGCCTTTTAGCACGTGCTCTGCGGGGCATTACAGACAAAAAAAGTTTTTCGTTACAGAAGAAGGATCAAAAGGAAACACGCACTGAGTAGCAAGTATTACTGTTTTTTTTACTACGAAAACTAGAAAGCGGTAGTAGGGAAAGGATTCACTACAATGGATTTTTTACAAAATACGACTATTTTGCCAGACTGTCAAACAAACTGGGAAAAAAAATTTACCTTATATAGAAAGGCGACTTTTAAAACGGACTCAAGTAAAAAACAGGCATTAATTACTTAAGAATGTCCAGATAAATGCAGAGCTTCACTTATCTTTGAAATTGAAATATTGTCTTGTTGTCTTTTCCTGCTCATCGTATGCTTTTTAGCAACGAGCTAGCTCTACGGATCGACAACTTTCCAGTCCTTGATGCCGCCACATCTGACGAGAACGCCTCCGTGGAGAACTGATGGCGTCAACCGAGGGACACAGTCCAGGCAACAGCTCTGGCCGTCCTCGGTCACGCACGTCTCAAGCCCAAGGACCGGGCAGATGCACTTCCAGTCGCGTGTATCCACAACCACCGTCCACGAACTTCTCTTCGCCGTCGACTGTGCCCTCAACGCCACGTCGGAAGGGGACATGCAAAGGAGGATGGACCTCTTCGCCGCCGCCTGCGGGGACATCAGTCAGATCATGGACACTCAGAAGACGGTTGTCATGCACCAACCGCCACCCAACACAGCCAACAATGCGCCGCAAATCAGCATGAACTGAACCCAACGGCAAATGGTGGACAACTTCACATATCTGAGCAGCATCCTCCTTCGCAGCACCAAAATCGATGGCGAAGTGGCCCACCGTATTTCCAAAGCCAGTCTAGCCTTCGGCCGTCTGCAGAATACCGTCTGGGACCGTCACGGTCTCCATCTCAACAAGAAGCTGAAGAGGTATAAGGCAGTCAGCCTACTGACGCTGTTGTATGAAGTGAAGACCTGGCCGGTCTAAAAAAAGCAGGCGCAGAGACCCAATCGCTTCCACCTCAGCTGTCTCTGAAGGATACTGGAGGCGAAATGGTAGGATCGGATCCCCGACTGGAGCGAACGCGAATCCCCAGAATTTACGCCATGCTGAGACAACTGCAACTGCATTGGAGCGGCCACCTCTTGCGGATAAACGACGAGCGGCTACCCAAACGATTCTTCTATGGAGATGTCGCCATGTTTTCCTGCCGCCAAGGAAACAAAATCCGTCGATACAAGGACACTCTAAAAGCCTGCTTGAAGAGTCTGCAGATTAACCCGGCCAACTGTAAAGACCTTACTCGAGATCAACCGAGAAGTACGGTGAAGACAGGCGGATCTGTCGAGTAGGCAAATCGCATAGCCGCCGCAAAAGCCAAACGAGAAACACGCAAGTGTTAGCTGCGCCCAATCTGCAATGCCAATGTCCAGTCGCCCCCAACGTGTCCGCGGTGTCATCGGAAATTCCGGGCGACAAGTGGACTTGTTGGACGCCTTCGGACCAACTGCAGCACTCGGGCTGCATTAGCCGTCGTACCTCCGTCCACACCTTCCTCGTCCTCTACGCTGTCAACTAGTTCTGACCGTCCTCCTGAACCATCACTTCCGTCCTCCTCCTGTCCCCCACCGCCTTAAGGTCCGCCGCTGTAGCATTTGCCACACCCACCAGCATTACAAACAATCCAGACACACCAACACCACCACCGTCGACACCAGTAGAGGGGGTCTGGTTTCCACCTGTCCTCATTGAGACTGCACCTCCAGCTCATAAATTGGCCTGGTCGGTCACTTGCGAATCCATCATACAGAGACTGGCAAACCAGTGCCTGGAGCACCAACCTGGATCCGCCGCATCCGCCACCACTGTTCACATTCCCTCGCACATTCATGCACCTCATGGGCCTATTCAGCCATATGCGTATCCACGAGAGCGAAAATGACCGCAGCCCTGACATACCCAGCACACCCACCATAACTAGCCCGGCCCACGCTCAACAGACCAGCGTGCCCATCGCCACTAGCTCCACCACACTCAGTATATTTTGCACATCAGCTATGCTCTGCGCAAACCACGCCCCATCGCCCAACGCGCCCAACGCCACCACCGAAGTTGAAGATGATACCGCCGACTTTTCATGTCCGCAGTGTCTCCGGAAATTCACCTCACGCATCGGCCTGGTCGGCCATTTGCGGATCCATTGCACGGAGACTGGCGATCAGTGCCCGGAACGCTAACCTACACTTGCCGCATCCTTCTCCACTGTGCACACTGTACCCGCCTATTTATTCACCGCATAGGCTTATTGGGCCACGTGTAAGTCCACGAAAACCTGCGATAGACCACCACCGGCTGCATTCCACCCTCACATCCTCTCACGCCAGCATCTCACTGCACACCAATGTCACACACCTCGAACACCCATCTGCAATCTCCCACTCAAGTGGGAGGCATGAGTCTCGGCTTCTTCTCTATGCGGCCCCCCCCCCCAGCTGCGTGTGATTGGAGTCTGATACTGCCACGGTGCGTCGAGCGCCGTGGCTCGGAAGGGAGTCGACTAACATCACAACTCTGTCCATGCAGTCCGTCCAGAAGTATTTGCGTTTGTGTGGAGTGGCGGACCGGTGGGCTGGGGGTCAGGCTGAAGCAGCTCCTTATTCAGCTATTTGTGGCACTCATGTATGTGAGGAGAGTGTGTATTCTATGGGTAGTGCCTCTCAGTCGAAGACTTTTTGGTTAACTAAACCTGAAGGGCGACGGCCCAAGCCACATGCAGGACTACGTGACGCCCTTCTAGGCCAAAAGGCCTGTAGTCGTGTGCTCTACCAGTATCAACAAACCATGGCCCTCGCAGACTGGTGTGCGCTTGGAGTTCCCTGGCACCTGCTTTCCTGCCGGTAGATGCGCTAGCACTCCCGCTAGGTACACAGGGGATGGGCATGGCTGCTTAGTCATCCTGGACACTGCGGCTCCTAGTGGAGTGTCTTTGTTGTTTTTGGCGAAAAATCCTGGTTATTTGTCGTGTGGACCAGGAGTATGGTGGCACGCCAAGGTGCGGCTCCGGCCGCGCCAGCCACCCACGCCCTCCCCCCGCCTCAGGTCTTCTTGAATCTATCTTAACACCGGGTCCCGGTGGAGAGTGGGAAAGAGAGAGTTCGGTGAATGAGTTTGTGGGGGTGTCAATTTGGCAGAGTAGAAAGCCAAGGGCTGGGTGCCAGTGGGTGTCTGTTGCTGAAGGGCAGCACCTATAGCGAAATTAGAGGCGTCGGCCACAATGGAAAGTGGGGCATCAGGTATAGGGTGAACAAGGACAGTTGTATCCGCAAGAGCCTTCCTCGAACGATTGAAAGCCTCTACAGCTGTGTCAGGAAAAGAAAACTCACGGTTGTTCCCGCGTAAAAGGTTAGTAAGTGGTAGCATTAATTGAGCACAATGAGGGATGAAACGTCGATAGAAATTGACAAGGCCTATAAAACGGCGCAGTTGTTGAAAAGAAGTGGGAGTAGGGAAATCGCGAATAGCTGAAACTTTGGTATCTATGGGATGACAACCAGAAGCGTCTACGCGATGTCCTAGGAAAAACAGCGACTGTGCGCCAAAAACGCATTTAGAAACATTAATGAAAACGCCAAATTGGCTCAATCGTTCAAAAATGAGACGCAAATGTTGTAGGTGCTCGTGTTCACTGGAACTTGCTACCAGAACATCGTCGACGTAGACAAAAACGAACGGTAGATCGCGGAGGGCTTCGTTGATGAAACGTTGAAAAGTTTGGGCGGAGTTGCGTAGCCCAAAAGGCATCCTGACAAACTCGAACAGACCGAACGGTGTTGTAATCGCCGTTTTGGGAATGTCTTCTGGAGCAACGGGTATCTGATGGAAGGCTTTGACTAAGTCAATGTTGGAAAATATTGTCGCTCCAGCTAGGCTAGATGAAAAGTCGTGGAGATGGGGAAGTGTATACCTGTCAGGCACAGTGGAGGTGTTTAACCGTCGGTAATCCCCGCATGGGCGCCAGTCAACGAGAGACTTTTTGCACACCATATGTAGAGGTGCAGCCCATGGACTAGTGGAAGGCCTAACTATGCCTAGCTCCATCATGTGACTGAATTCAGCCTTGGCTATGGCTAACTTATCGGCGGCTAAACGACGGGGACGGCTTAATACGGGTGGTCCAGCAGTTGAAATATAATGTACAACAGAATGCTTGATAGGTTAGTTAAATTGTGAAGGTCGTGTGATAGACGGAAATTCCGAAAGTAAACGATGATAGGGAGTAGACGAAGGGATTGTTGAAATGCGTGGATTAGGTGATGCAAGGGTACGAGTGGAACAATTACAATGTAAAGAAGTCTTAGGATCAAATAATTTATGGGACTTAATGTCAACGAGGAGACCGAAAAAGGATATAAAATCAGCGCCAAGAATGGCAGTATGGACATCAGCGATAGTAAATAGCCAACGAAATGAACGTCTTAAACCCAAATCTAGTGTTAGGGATCGTTGACCAAAAGTTTTAATAGAAGTATTGTTAGCTGCTTGGAGGAAAAATGAAGAATTTGGTGACTTACGGTCAGTCAAGGTGGGTGGAATTAGACTGATCTCCGCACCAGTATCCACGAGAAAATTACGACAGGAAGTCCTGTCATAGATGTGGAGTAAGCGACTGGGAGAGGATGTGCCGACCATGTTCGTCGCCCTTACTGGTCGGCAGGGGAGTTTTCCGACGCGGGTGTTTTATATTTGCACGGAGAGTGGCAGCGATGGGCGTTAGAACTATAATTGTGATGATACCAACAGAAACCATCAACTGTAGGTTTCTTTGGAGTGGGAGATCTCGGGCGGCGAGAAATTGCAGGACTACGAGGGTTATAGACGCGAGTGGCCCGGAGCTGGGAAACTTCGAGAGTGAGGGCATCCAGGCGTTTGACAACATCCTCGATTGTGGGGGCAGTTGTGCTTCGACTAGCGACGTTAACCGTAACAGGAGGCTGGTAGTACTCGAGTATACGGTCAGTCTCCGCGAGCATCTGAACAGTCGACGAAGGAATGTTAGGCGCAAGGATGGCTTGCACAGAAGGAGGCAACCGTTGGAGGAAAAGTTGCTTGAACATGGTGGCATCCAGCTTTTGTCCGTCTGCCAACTGCTCCAAACGCCTAAGAAGCTGCGTAGGCTTCCTGTCACCGAGGTCCTCCTCAGAAATTAAACGCTGGAGACGTTTTTGCGTTGAGAGGGAAATGCGGGAAATGAGGGCCTCCTTTAGGGCAGTATAAGGGGCTTCTGTGGGCGGGCAATCTATGATGTCGCGGAGGTCGATGGCGATGTCCATTGGGAGTGCTGCCACAACATAGTGAAATTTGGTATCCTCTCGTGTGATCTGACGGAAGGCGAATCGTGACTCTACAGTGCGCAGCCATAACGCGATGTCACCGAGCCACACGGATGGCAGGTCAAAAGTGTGAATGCCGGCTATCGGCTGGCTGGTAGAATCGCTGGACATAATTAGCCGGGGTCGGTCAGAGGTCAGATAAATGGGGTAGAGGACTGGCGCGTTGACGGTGAGACTGAAGGGTAGCGCTCGTATTGGATGAAAGGGTGAGACAGTGTGGATAGCAGATAAGGGCTAGATGAATAATCTGATCGATAAAAATTAGAGGGAGGATTAATCCGAATGGAAATAGTTAGGCACAGAGATTAAACAGAAGGAGCTATGAACGATGTAGGGTCACCAGTATAAGAGACAAATCCACTAGTTGGGCACAGCGAGTAGGCTATCCAGGAAACGAAAATAGCAGTATCCCAACAGTTCCAAACTAGTAAATAAGAACAAAGTCGTCAGCAGGTAAACGTGCACGTGCGTGTTCTTTGTCTTATTCAAAGTTGTGTCAAAGCGTATTGTAACTGATTAAAACAAAACAGATTTAAATGTCACTACAGTAGACTGCAGTTTAGTTATTATTCTTAAATATTATTTTTATTAAAGACCCGTCGGGGTCCCATCAAAGCAAACATATATGAGACAGAGAGAGAGAGAGAGAGTGAATAAGCCGAGCACGTTCAGCCTCCACTAGTAAGACAAATGTTTTAGACCATCGACCATCTTCGTTGCTCTGCGTTGCACGTGTTTGAGTAAGTCAATATCCCTCCTCATGCATGGTGAAGCTGTTGGCATTTCACACTCCTAATGGAATCTTACAAAGACGCCAAAGTCTTTCTAAGAGTTCGGGAGGGAATATTTTAAATGCACGTCTGATTCAATGCAAAGTATTGCTTGTCTTCTGGAAATATTACTACAGTGTTATGATGGCAATATATTTGTGGTCGTCCATACACGCAGATCTGTGTGTCTTTCTGTGGTTTCTAAAGCCGTCCACTTAATAAAGTACTTATGCTTGGGAGAGGCATTTCGACCTGTATTAAGGTTCAAGACCACGCATCTGGACACGTTAAACTTCAAAAGCTATCTGTTCGACCAAACATTCAGTTTTTGGATGTTCAATTGCAACTCCTTGGAGTTATCATCGCATTTGACTTCATCCCATATTTTCATATAGTATGCGAATATGAGCGCCTCGCAATCCAGTATGCTGATGCAATCATTAACATAAGTCAGGAAGAGTAGTAGGCCTAAGACAGAACCCTGTGGGACACCACTTTCCATTTTTTCCAATTTCGAGGTAGAGTTACCAATGACGACCCTTTGAAGTCTGGAGGAAAGAAAACTCCTGATTCATGTAGACATCCTTTCGTGAATTCCGACATCGCAGATCTTCTGTAAAAGGAGCCTGTGGGGGACATTATCAAAGGCCTATTTGAAGTCAAAAATATGAAATCTACTGGATAGCCCTTGTCGGTAGCTCTTATCCATTTCTTGTGCGAATAAAGAACACTAGTTAGGCAGGTGCGTCCTGGACGAAAGCCATGTTGGGCATCACACAATATTTGGTTTTTTCCAGGTATCGCACCAAATGTCTTTGGTAATGTGTTCCATAATTTTACACGCGATGTAAGTAAGACTGACGGGACGATAATTTCCGCAGTCAAGTCGTAAAGCTCCCTTATGGATCGGAGTGATGAGTGCGCACTTCCATTCTTCCGGGAGCTTGGCTTCTTCAAATGACTTCTGAAATATTGCTGACAATTGCTCGCACAGTTTATTAGCAAGTTCACAAAGTGCTATTGCAGGGATTCTCTTTGGGCCAGGCGATTTGGTAGGTTACAGTCGGAGTGGTTCGG